GTTCTCAAGAGTGGCTGTACCAGTTTGCATTTCCACCAACAGTGTAAGAGGGTTCCCTTTTCTTCACACCCTCTCCAGCATTTATTGTTTGTAGACTTTTTGATGATGGCCATTCTGACTAGTGTGAGGAGATACCTCATTGTGGTTGTGATTTGCATTTCTCTAATAATGAGTGATGTTGAGCATCTTTTCATATACACAGTGGAGTATTACTCAGCTATGAAAAGGAACCCATTGGAGTCAGTTCTAGCGAGGTAGATGAACCTGGCGCCGGTTATACAGGGTGAAGTAATTCATAAAGAGAAAGACAAATACTGTATATTAACATATATATATTAACACATATACATGGAATTTAGAAAGTACCGATGATCCTACATGCAGGGCAGCAAGGGAGACACAGATGTAGAAAACAGACTTTTGAACTCAGCGGGAGAAGGCAGGGGTGGGATGATTTGAGAGAATAGCATTGAGACACGTACATTACCATATGTAAAATAAATGACCAGTGCAAGTTCGATGCGTGAAACAGGGCACCCAAAGCCAGTGCTCTGGGACAACCGGGAGGGATGGCGTGGGGTGGGAGGTGGGGGGAGGTCAAGATGGGGGGAACACATGTATACCTGCAGCGGATTCATGTTGATGTATGGCAAAAACCATCACAATATTGCAGGTAATTATCCTCCAATTAAATAATTAAAAATATTAATGCCTGTGGAATAAACAAGTTAATGGCTTTTAGATTTGAGATTCCTGTTGAGAAAGAAACTGCTGGGCACATGATTGTCACATTCATGGCAACTAGCAAGTAAATGTTCATGGCTGATCTAACCTGGTCTTTCAATCTATTTTGTTAAGAGGGAACAATATTTATCTTAAAATCAATCTTCTGGGTTAGCACAGAAAGGCCTTTCATCTCCACTTACAAAGCCCCACAGAGGAGCTAGACACAAGGAACTCACCTCAAACTGTAAGAAAACCTGAGCCTTTTGTGGTGAGAATACTGGAATCAGGGCTCCTAAAGATTCATATGGGGCTGCCCCGGTGGTAAAGAACCTGCCTGCCAATGCAGGAGACGCAGGTTCAATCCCCGCGTCAGAAAGATCCCCTGGAGAAGGAAACAGCAACCCACTCCAGTATTCTTGCCTGGGAAATCCCATGGACAGAGGAGCCTGGTGGGCTTTGGTCCATGGAGTCAAAAAAAGAGTCCGATATGACTTAGCACCTAAACAGCAACAAAGATTCACCCTTTGGGAACATATTATATATGTTTAACATAAAACAAATTGTATTAGATAGTAACACATTTCTTTAAGCACTAGGTGAAATACATCGGAATCCTTAAACAGTAGTTGTCACCTATCCAGTCTCTTGTCCGTACTGCTCAAGTTTATCTAGTGATAGTTTTTCTCCTCTGGAGCTTTAAATGGGCCAAGAAGAGTGTAGACAATTTTGAATATAATGGAAACGCCTGTCCTTCTGATGCCATCCTCTCTCTTCTTGCTCTTTTGTTCGACATTTCCCTCTCAAACGAATCCTTCCCAATGGCATTTTAACATGCTTGGAAATCTCCCAAATGAAAACACGACAAAAATGCCCTGTTCAACAACTATCCAACCCTCTTCCCCTGCTCACAGCCAACTCAGTGGAAAGAGCTGTATTATTACTTATTAGCTCCATTCTCTCACTTCCCACTTGCTCCGCAACTACTCAGTTTGGCTTTTGCCCCATTAAGTCTTCATAAATGCTCAGCAACTGGCCTCTGTCCATTAAATCCAGGTGCCTTTTGCACTTCTCACCTCACGAGGTGAGCCTGCTCATCTAGGCCTTTCTTATCCTCTCATCCACACTTCCTCATCCCCAGCCCTCACCCAGGAAACTTCCAGTGTCAACAAAGAGGGTGTAACTTCCACACCTTTCTGCTATGTGTATATACACAGATATATAATTCATCAGGATGTGTGTTTATAAGTTTGCTTTTCTGAAACTGACTCAGACTCATACGTTACTTTGCAATTTCCGTTTTCCACTTGACGTGACAGCCTAGACAGACTACTTTACTCAAGTTAAAAAACTTTTTATGTTGGTATGTAAATGTATATATATTCAGATATAACTAAATAAGTGCTAATACACCAGGGCAAGTAATTATATTTTTAGAAATTAGACAGAAAAATCAGATTATGCACGTTGGGATCCTTGAGAGTCTCCAGCGGGGCAGACTAGTGGCCAAAGTCACAAGGGCACAGATTTCAGCTCAGAGTCAGACAAGGCAGCCATTCAGCCTTCAGCCCCTTCTAGAGCCATTTTACCTTTAGAGGCACTAGCAGCTAACAGAAGACAGTCTTCATTATCTGTGTTTGGGGTTAAAATAATTTTGCTTAAAATAATTTTGCCATCTCCTTCAAGTCATCACCTTGGGAAGTGACAGCCACATTCCAACAACAGTGTGACTTGCACAAATGCTTTTTGGAGATTTTTCTTTAGTTTAAGCACCCTTCAGTTTCTCCCAACCACACACCCCATTTTAAAAAGTAACATCTGGCCTTGGGGGAAGCTGAGTAAAATATAGACATGCTCATTCCTCGCCAGGTCGTCCTGGCTAATCCTCCACAGTGAGAGTCAGAACCAAGAGGGAGGATAAGCCCAGAACATGCTGACTTGAGCTCATAACAAAGAGTCAAGTTTTGGCCCAAAATGATAGGTCCTTTCCTTATAATTTTCCAACTAAACCCTTTCAAGGATCTTCTGAAAATTTTAGTTATCACAACAAATATTTTCACACGCTATCTTCTTTTTTTTCCATTAAAAAAAAATGTTTATTTATATGGCTGCACCAGGTCTTAGCTGCGGCATGTGGGATCTATTTCTCGGACCAGGGATCAAACCTGGGGCCCCTGCATTGGGAGTGTGGCGTTTTGGCCACTGGACCATGAGGAAGTCCCCATACACTATCCTCCTAAAATAAAAATCTGCACAGAATGGCAAAAAATCCAGAAAGGTAAAAGATCTCTCTATTCTTTAATTTACAGTAGACTATAACTGTAGTTCTATAGTTATAGTCTACTATAACTTTTTAAATGTAGTTATAGTCTACTAAAACTATAACTTAGCTATATTCTACTCTAACTTCCACGGAGAAATTTCCAAAAGTTGAAATTCTACCATTAACAGAACAGTCGAACCAAATGAAATTTCCCATGCAGTACAAAAACAAAAGAGTTAATAGTAATAAAACAAAACAACCTCAAAGAGATAACAGGAGGGAAAAAAACCCCAGATCTTTAGGGAAGTTGTACGTGGACAAAAAGTTATTGGAATGAAATAATTAAGATGTTAACTCAAAATATAAAACGATGCTGAAGGGCCAGGTGCACAGGTGCTGTCTTGTCACAGTGCTGAGAAGCCCCAGTGTGTCCGGGAGCTGAGTTCTCTCTGGGGTTGGCAAACTGGCCTATGGGCCAAGGTGTCTCTTGTTGTAAGGCCAGTAAACTAAGAATGGTTTTCACATTTTAAAATATTTGAAAAAAATATTAATGACACAAAAATCACATGAAATTCAAAGTTTAGGACACATTGAAAAAAGATTTATGGGAACACAGCCGCGTTTATGCATTTATTTATTGTCCATGGCTACTTTGTGTTACAATGGTCCATCTCAGTGAATGAAACTGACTGTGTGGCCTGAAAAGCTAAAATATTCACAAGTTTCCTCTTTCTAGAAAAGGTCTGCTGATGCCTGTTCTAAACCAGATTTTACTGCCATCAACTCCGTGTGACCTGAGGCTGGCCTCCTGCCTCGTCTGGATGCACCTTTGAAAGGAAGGGGCCTGGAGAAAGCGCTGGCACGGCCACCAGAACTGCAGGGAGCAGGGGCACCCGCTGGCGCCACCTACAGCCCGTTAGGAAAATGGCAGGCGGGAGGCTTGCAGCGGTGGGACACTCACAGGTCTGTCCCCATCTTTGGTGGAGCCGCCCTCTTGGGTTGAGGGCTCTTAAACGAACTCTCTCCCCCAATGAATGCCATCAATGAACAAAAAACCTGGTCTTTACACACCTTTTAAATGGACAGCCCACAACTCCAAATAGCAATACATTTTCCAGCACTCATTTCAGGAATAAATGTGCCCCACAAAACAGAAGAAATGCAGATCACTTATTTCCCCAGAAAACTTATTACCACATCTGGCTTTTTAGTTCTGAAGGAAAAATAATGAAAAAGCTCGTCATGTGAAAATCCATCTACAGCTCATGAGTCACCATTCTCTCTCACACCACTAAACACGGCACGCTCCTGAACCTTCATGCTCTAAAAAACACAGGTGAGCAGACATCACAGCTGAGGAAACCCACAACAAAGGAATGCAAATGACTGGGCCAAGTGGTTTGTCTGCCAGCTCTGAACCAATTCCCCCTGGGAGCCTCCAGGGCCAAGGCTCTTGCCCCTTCAGAGCAAAAAAACCTGGCTCAACCTCCCATCAACCCCAGTGCCGTAGAGCATGTCATCTCCATGTTGAATGCAGCGAACCCATCAAGGCAAGGCCGATAGTCTCCAGACACGCCACCCTCAAGTCCTCCCATCCTGCTCCTTGTGTGGGTGGGGTCTAACTACTGCTCCCCATGTGGGCTGGTCGTCCTCTGCCCGGAGCAGCAGTGATGTTCTGAGACTGCTGAGCCCACATGAGGGCTGGAAGCTTCCACTTTTTTCCCTTTGGAGCCCAGTCCCCAACCAATATGGAAGTCCAGGCTGGACCACTGAGGGATTAGAGGCCACATGGAGAGGGGATATGGAGGACGAGATGCCAGCCTGGACATGGAGAACAGCCACCAGACACCCCAAGAGAGACCACCCTGCTGAGTTCCAGCCGACCCACAGAATCATGAGAAGTAACGTAGCAGGGACTGAAATCTCCATTTCTAGGCTAACTTTTCAAGGCACAGAAAAGACTCAGCAGAGTTGGCCCAAGCTTTCTATGTGGTGTGAAGAGCCTCCAACTTACTTCATCATCTTCATCTTCATCATCATCAGATTCAAGAACACCATCCAGTAGCTCTTCTACAAAGGAAAAAAAGTCAATGAATAACTATAACCACAGCTGGGAGCCTGGGTCAAGAAAACCCTTCAACTACTGCAGGGATGTGTAAGTACCCTTCTGAGAGTCATTGTTGTTTTAGTCTCTCAGTCATGTCCAACACTTTTGTGACTCCATGGACTGTAGCCCACCAGACTCCTCTGTCCATGGGATTTCCCAGGCAAGAATACTGGAGTGAGTTGCCATTTCCTACTCCAGGGGATCTTCCTGATCCTGGGATCAAATCCGAATCTCCTGCATCGCAGGTGGATTCTTTACCACTGAGTCACCTGGGAAGTCCCTCTTGAGAGTTCAGTTCAGTTCAGTTCTGAGAGTTAGGTTACAGCAAAACAATCCTGTTCCTGGTATCGTTTCAGCATAGTTTGATATCATGCATAAGCAATTTTAAATATCTCTCTCCATTTTTGTCAGAACACATTAGTCACGACATGAGAAAAATTAAAGCCAACATATAATTTGAGAGTAATTTAGAAGGAAATGGCAACCCACTCCAGTATTCTTGCCTGGAAAATCCCATGGACTGAGGACTCTGGTAGGCTACAGTCCATGGGGTTGCAAAGAGTTGGACACGACTGAACGACTTCACTTTCACTTTCACTTTAGGAGAAAGAAAGTAGACTAGTATCAATATTATTGCTAAGCATTATTCTAGATGGTGTCACACATGCGATTTGACTTAATCCTCAGTAGAGTTTGTTGACTTTTATCCCGGTTTTATAGCATAGAGCAAACAGAGGCACGGAGGATAAAAGATACATTATGGTCACATTCCCAGTAAGTGAGAGTTGAGATTCAAACTATACCTATTTCTAAATTCCACCATTTTTCCACAGAGGGTAGGCTAGTGGTCACAGCAGGCTGAGCTCCTGAAGGCTCCTGTGGTTCACTGTTGTTGTTTATTCACTAAGTCATGTCTGACTTTTTGCGACCCCCTGGGTTGTAGCCCACCAGGCTCCTCTGTTCATAGGATTCTCCAGGCAAGAATACTGGAGGGGGCTGCCATTTTCTTCTCCAGGGGATCTTCCCAACCCAGGGATCGAACTTGCATCACCTGCATTGCAGGTGGATTCTTTACTGCTGAGCCACCAGGGAAGCCCTGCTATTAATTTCCCCTTGAGGATGAAGCCTGGACCGGATGAAAACTCTCCAGCTCTCCCTCCTCTAGGTTTCAGCACAATGCTTGTAGATTCATTCTGACTTGATGCCAATGACACATATCCTAAGGTATTTGTGTGTGTGTTTCTGATCCTCCACCCAAATGTTCAATGATTTTTCTAATTTGGCTATAAAGCAACAGACCCCTGTTTGGGATTCTGGGATCCTTCCACTGCCTGATGGATACAGAAGAGCTTCTGTGCTTGAGATGAAAAAGAGCTACTGTAGGCCCTCTATTTAAACTGGAATTTTTGGAGCTGAGCAGGTAGATCCCAAGTTTGTCTGGAATACATAAGGTTGTAAGGCTTTAGCTCCATCCATGATAACTTCCTGCCAAAGCGCATCCCTTACAGAACAGTAGACTGACCCCTCCTCCTCACACTCATTAGCATGCTGGTCCAAGGGCTAGCTTTGTGTTAGAAAAAGAAGTGTTTCTTGGCCAGGGAGACAAGACACCGTGTTTCTTGGCTGCCCGGGAAGAGAGAATACTGAAAAGGACACAGAAGTGTATCTTGACAAAATCAGCCCTGAAGAAGGTTCCCAACCAGAACCTGACCCTGACCCTGCAGAGAACCCCTGGCCTGGGAGGGAGGTCTGTCAGTGAGCACAGAGTAGACCGACAACAACTTCTCCAGCATCCCCCCACCTTCCCAAACTGTAGCCGACCCAGAGAATGTTAGGTAGCAACCTCGGCTCCCTTTTATTTATTATTACTTTTTATTAGTTATTTATATTTTTGTTAATTATAAAAAATCATTTTATGATTTTTATTTTCAATATGCCTGCCCAGCAGAATGGAAGTCAGAAATACAGCAGAAAATATAGTTCTGTTCCTTGCTCACCTGAACTTGGGATGAATCTTGCTTGCTCCATAAAAACCAAAGGGGAGAAGGTTTGAATGGAAATGGGCCCCCCTGCCTGAAGGCAGCAGCGGTGTAACCTCACCAGCTGCTCTCCCAGCTGCCTCCTGTTGTTGGGGAGCCCTCTAACTTCCTCCTGTGCCTCCTCATTTCTGTGTCCGTCCAAGAGAGGGAGGCGCCACCTTGGCTGCATATTGGAATCGCCTAGGAGTTTTAAACACTATTTCTCCCCTGGGGCTCCGCTAGAGGTTCTGATTTAATTGCCATGGGGTGCTGCCTTGGGGGTTTTCAGATATCTCCAGGTGACTGCCTGGTTCAGCCTTGGCTGTGAACCCGGGAAAGCCACCAGTGGGCGTCCTCCGGGGAAGGACTTTGGGCATCTCCCTTTTGCTTGGCCTTGGTCAAACTTGGCCCTGGGGTTAGAGCAGGGAACAGGTGATTCATTTCTTACCTCCACTCAAGTAAGAAACAGGATCTATGCACTTGGATGTTCAGTGATGGGATGAGGGCATGTAGAAAAGATATAAGTGACAAACTTGGCCCAGAACATTGGCAGCACCAGGTGCCTCTGGCATGTGCATGAGTCAGGATCAAGGCATCAGAAAGTCACAGAAAGAGCTAAGAGATTCCCCACCACCTGGTCCCATCCAAGGCTTCCTTTCTTGCTTATGGGATTCAGGTGGGTGGTGAAAGTAATGAAAGAAAAGAAGAAACATCGTCCAGAGTTGTTGGTTGGCAACATGGATTCTTCTGGAGTGGATGCACCTGGGAGGATGCGTTCACTTTCCACAGTGGTTCTGGAAAGACTGGCATCTTTTTTCACTATCTGACCCTTTGGCCCCATTTTATTATAGTTCATTGACCTGAAAACAGCCACCCTACTGAACCAGGGGAAATACAGTAATTAGGAAGGGTAGGCCCACATAAAGAGAACTTCCGGTTAGAGAAGAGTTTCTGCAATTGCTTCTGAATGCTTTTATGTTGACTTAGGCCAAAAGTGTGACGAGAATTTGTTAATCTTGGGACAACGTGGCCTTGACCACCTGGCTGAACTTTTGTTTGTTCACTTGGATCGCACCAGCTTCCTTAAGGCCTCTCGAATGAATGCTGAGATAGGACAAGTCCCTTGAAGAAAGACTGTGTGTCTTTCTAGCACATGTGAAAGACTCAAAAGATAGATAATAGATTCTTGCATTACACGAACCTGAATTGAGCTGCTTGATAATAAACTCGATCTGGCGGATCATTTCGGCGTTGCCCTCTTTGATGAAGCAGCGAAGGATGTCTTCCATTCCCTGGAAGCGTTGGAGAGAGGAAGAGTGAACATTTCAGTTTGGGAGAAAACTACTTTTTGATGGATAGTTCCACCTAATCAAAAAAAAAAAAAAATCCGCGCCCCCCCCCCTTTTTTTTAAGGAGGAAAGGATATGCACAATAAAAAAAATTCCTCTGCTTAGTTCATTCTTTTTTGTTGTTTTTAGAATTTACAATGAAATTATTTTATTTTTGCTTGACTAGCTGACCTAATTATAACGCATTTACTTTTTAAAAAGCTATTGTATAATTTTACTGTGTAAGTACTCCTTTTAGTTTTGGCAATATGCTGTTTTGGGAGGTGGTTTCTTTCCTGTGTTTTCCCTATATTTATACACTGCCATCTGGATTTTAGGGCCAAAAATGGTCTTTGAAAAGTGGAACCATATGTTCAGAGAAGTAAATGAACAAATAGAACCTTTTTTTAAACAGCCATCATTCCTTTTCTATCAAAATAATTATAAAGTCACTATATTGTGCATTATTTACTCTACGACAAAGCACTGACTTCAGAATTTTCTATTTTGACCCACAGAATTCCCAGGAAATGCAGAGGTAAGATACTGACATACCCATAAGTACCTAGTTTCCCTCCTTCCTCTCCCCTCGTGGGATGTGAATGTGTGTATGTGTATGTGTGTGCTCAATTGCTCAGTTGTGTCCGACTCTTTGCTACCCTGTGGAATGTAGCCCAACTCCACGGACTGCAGCCCACCAGGCTCTGTCCATGGAATTTTCCAGGCAAGAATATCAGAATGGGTTGCCATTTTCTTCTCCAGGGGAATCTTTCCAACCCAGGGATCGAACCTGAGTCTTTTACGTCTTCTGCATTGGTACTGGCAGGCAGGTTCTTTTATCATTAGTGCTACCTGGGAAACCCCATGGATGTGTGGCTGGAGCTAATGAGGCCTTCTTGCCCCCACAAGGAGAAAGTGTATCTAATACTGAACCCAAAGCTGAGGAAACAGAGTCCAGAGGTGCTGGCTGAGACATGGATCAAGTGACATGTGAATTCTGATCAAGATGTGCCTGAAGCTTACACCTGTACTTATCAGTTACATGAGTCATAAGTTGCCTTTTCAGGTAGGCCAGTTTGGAATCAACAGCTCTAATAGAATCAAGGAAGAAGGGCCAAGTGTAGTTTTGAACACCTTGAGTTCTCATCACCTAAAGCAGAGCACTATTTTCTAGAAAGGTTCAATCTGGATCGTAATTCTAGTTTCCTTGTAAAATAGCTGTGGGACCTTGGTCAAATGACTTAACTCCTGCCAGCCTATTTCCTCAACTATAAAATAAGGATGACAACTCAAGGCAACACGAGATTTTTAAAGGATGTATATTGGTGTTGGTTATGTAAACGTATGTTTGTGGAAATGCACTGAAGGGAGGGACTTCCCTGGCGGTCCAGTGGTTAAGAATCTGCCTTGCAGTGCAGGGGATGGGGGTTCATCCCCTGGTTGAGAATTAAGATTCCACATGCCTCAGAGCGACTGAGCTCTCTAGCTGCAACTAAAGAGTCCGTGCGCCGCAAGGAAAGATTCCACATGAACCAATGAAGATCCTGAGTGATGCAACCATGGCCCAATGCAGCCAAATAAATAAATAAATTTTAAAATGCACTGAACTATATATGTCAGGCCCGTGCACTTCACTGTTTGTAAACTACAATACCTAAAAAAATAAAAGCATCTAATCCAATGATTGACACATAGGAGATGCTTAATAAATGACTGAGACTGCATTTGCTGTGTCTGGTAGGGCTTTGTGGCTCAGAACAGAGAGCTGGTGGGTGAAGCAAGGGAACAAGCAGAGTTCCTGGTGGTCACAGGGTGAAGAGGGATACTACAGAGAATGATAACATTTAACTGGGGGGCAGAGACAGACCAGTCCACAGAGGAGAGGGTGAAGGAGTGGCCTGGGAGGCAGAACTGGACAGTCCACAAGGGAAAAGAGTTTCATGGAGGGGGTGGTCAGCAGCACCCAGGCTCCTAGGGAACCAGTCAGACACACTTGGGCTTGTCTATTGTCAGGAGGGCTGCATTTTATGTCTCCCTGTCTCCTAGACTGACCTCTTCCCCATCCTGCACCCTGTCCCAAAGTAATGGCCAGAGGAGGAAGAATATAGTCAAGTGCAAGCAGAGAGATAAACCCTAAAACACCAAAGGCCAGGATCACCACCAACCAGCTGACCACTGCCAACATCTAACCTTTTTGCCAGTGGAGTGAGACAAATGATTCATTTAGGCTCTCCATCTTTTTTTTTTTTTCTCTAGAGTTTACGTTTGCAAATCATTAACTGTTCATATATTGAAAGATCTTCTAATTCTCACTTGTTCTCTTCTATCTCTAGCTCAGTTGTTACTTGGGGGTTAAAAATTCACAAATTCCTTCTCTGTAATTAGGAAGATTATTGGGGGAAGATTTTTTAGAAAATTTCTCTGTAAGAACTTTCACTTCTTTTAAATATATATTTTTATGTGTGTATGTGTGTGCTAAGTTGCTTCAGTCCTGTCCAACTCTTTGCCTATGGACCATAGCCTGCCAGTCTCCTCCATCCATGGGATTCCCCAGGCAAGAATACTGGAACAGGTTGCCATGCAATCCTCCAGGGGATCTTCCCGACCCAGGGATTGAACCTTAGTCTTTGACGTCTGCATTGACAGGCAGGTTCTGAACCACTAGCACCACTGGGGAAGTCCATATATTTTTATACTTATTATTAAATGTATATTTAAAATAAGTGAAATTTATTTTATTAAAATAAGTGAAATACATACACTGTATGTTTAATTTTTGACTAATCTAAAATGTAAATTATAGGAATAATAAAATCATAAAAATAATAATATTTTATCATGAAAGCAATAACATGTCATTTCAGATAATCCAGGCTAAATAAAAATGCCAAGCCAGACGTAAAGGGTAAGAGAGCAGGTACTTGTATATCAGCCAGGTATGTGAAAATGAGAACATGAATGTGTGCAAACAGCAGAGAAACAAGGAATGCCCGTTCCTGCCAGCTCCCTGAGATTAGAGACCATCATAAAGACAATCACACAGAAGACTGTATTTGTATGCAGTGTTGAAGGGAAGAAAAGGAATGGATCACATGCAGATTCCTTGTTAGGTAAAGGTTTGGGGGTGCGCCCAGTCCTGAGTTTGGGGCGATTTTGCCATCCAGGTGTGGGGTGCGGTCTGGAGTCAAACCACCCAGACCAGCTGCTCACTGGCTATGCCACAGGGCAAGGGATTTAAACTCTAAACCTCATTTCATCAGCAGCAAAATGGGCACAACCACAGCAACTGCTTTGGGGGCCTTTCAGGAATGAAATAGATAAAGTCCCCGCCAGGGCCTACGACATGCACCACATACCATCCAGTCCAAGTAATTTCTAACTCTCCTTTCACGCTCAGCAGACCAGCTCTCTACAGTGTTCTGTTTTGTTCCAACCCAAACAGTCCACACTTAACGTCACTAGGGGTCTTCACAAGAAATTTCTCTTGGGAAATATAAACAGAACTTCCCTGGCGGTCCAGTGATTAAGGTTACACGGATCTGACACCTGCACCCAGAAGATCCCACATGCCTTGGGGCCCTCGAGCCACAAGTCCTGAGCCCACGGGCTGCAAGTAGAGAGTAGCCCCACACTCTTCACAACTAGAGAAAAGCCCATGCAGCAACAAAGACTCAGCACAGCTGAAATAATCAACTAATTTAAAAAATATATATAAACGTGTGTCAGGTGCATATGAATACTTTCTTTTAGCTATGGAAGTTATATAGGTTCTCTGCAGAAAACTGATAAACTAAACAAAGAAAGATCCCCTGGAGAAGGGAAAGGCTACCCACCCACTCCAGTATTCTGGCCTGGAGAATTTCATGGGACTGTACAGTCCATAGGGTTGCAAAGAGTGAGACACGACTGAGCGACTTTCACTTTTTCACAAACAAAGGAAAAGAATTAAAATTATCCACAAGCCCCTACACTCAGACATTAAAAAAACTGGACATTTTGAGATATGCCCTCCTTTTATGGGCATTGTTTACATAATGACATCATATTGATAACATAAGACTGCTGTTTTTCAACTAAACCCTATGACTGTTTGATTGTGTCAATAAAATCTTTATAAACACAATTTTAATAACTATAATAACAATAATAGCTAACATTTTTCCAATATTTGCTATGTGCCAGGCACTGTTCTAAATATTTTACCTGTGTCAGCTCTTTTAATTCTCATAATGGTCTTACTAAAACAGTACCCACTTTGCCACTGAGAGAATAAGTCATAAGCCAACGATACACCATGAGGTACTGGGAAGTCGCAGAGGCAAGACTCAAACACAGCCCCAGGCTCGTCAGCTCTCGATTCACCCTCTGCCTCTGTGCTGACTTAACTAGACCCCCCTTAACCATGCCCAGCATTTAGCTGTTTCCTACTTTCCACTATGATCAGGAATGCAGTGATGAATGTTTTGATACATGAACCTTTGTTCATGTTCTTGTATGGAGCTCCAGAAGTAGAATTCCTGGGCAAAGAATGTTAATATTTTTTAGGACCGTTATACATATTGCTAAACTGCTTTCTGAAAAGGCTGTATAAGGACTTCCCTGGGGGTCCAGTGTTCGGGACTCTGCTTCCAAAGCAGGGGCCCAGGTTCAAACCCTGGCTGGAGAACTAGATCTCACATGCTGCAACTAAAGATCCCGTGTCTGCAACTAAGACCTGGCGCAAACAAATAAATATTTAGAAGATATACGGAAGTAAAAATGCTGTATCAATTTATCTTGTCCATTTTGAATTTTGAAAGGCCCACACATCATGGAGGCCACGGAATACAGCAAGCAGGCCCACCAACCGTAAGGGACAATTGCTGCAGTTGGAGCTGATGAACACTTGACATAGCTTTCCTACAATGTGTTCATCTCCCAGGGTGGCAGCCAGACTCTGAGCATCCCCAGGCTCCCCTGAGCGA